TCACACACACACACACATACACACACACACATCCAGCAGGGGGTATACAGATTAATGTATTATTAATGTAACGGAATAACCTTTCCCAGCTCCAAATACACACACACACACACACACACACACACACACACACATCAGCAGCAGCACCTGCAGTAGTTTACACCTCTCAGCCTCACCATCCATAACCATGGCAACCGCTGCTTGGTAACCAGGAGCGACGGGAGGCTGGAGCTCGATACGCTAAATCTGATTGAAGAGGATTGAAGCCGTCCAAACACTGGCTTCAGCAGCTGATGGAGGACATTCATTCATTCAATCAGCGTAGTCCCTCTATTACTCTGGGGTCGCCACAGCGGAATGAACCACCAACATATCTAGGACATGTTTTACGCAGCGGATGCCCTTCCAGCTGCAACCCATCACTGGGAAACACCCATACATTCACATTAAGATTCATACACTTTGGAAAAATTTTTAGCTTAGCCAGTTCCCCTATAGCACATGTGTTTGGACTGGGGGGGAAACCGGAGCACCAGGAGGAAACACAGAGAGAACATTCAAACTCCACACAGAAATGCCAACTGACCCAGCCGGGACTCGGGTCAGCAACCTTCTTGCTGTGCAGCGATCGTGTTACCCACTGTATTTGTGTGTGTTATGTGTGAAATCAATCTTCTGAACTCATATTCCCTCATCACTTCAGTCTCAGCTACTTGGAAACTCTATCTGTATTTGTTGTGAAGAGAATCCGAGTGCCGTCTGTCTGTGTAAAACCCTCTGCCATCATTCTGGTGAGATGTGGGCCACTTCCAAATCTCTGATATTCTGATCTCCAGAGAACATCTCAATGCGAAAAAACTAAGTAAGCAAAGCAGCAACTAACAAGAACCTTTATTTTGCTCTAAAAATGACTACTATTAATGAACTATTAGGTGTCATTGAGGGAGCAGATGCACCAGTCGCTAAAAACTATATACAATATAGTTCATATCATATCATATCATATCATATCATATCATATATAGATACAATATTTTAGGCAATTCTGAATTAAAAGACACGATTTGTCATGCACTTTGAATGTAGGAGGACAATTTTAATGATCATAATCAGCTTTATTAGACACCATATGAAAGCTAATATCCAAAAATGCATAGTAGAATCAACGTAAGGCAGTTTTCAGCATCATTCAGCACTAAACGCACTTATAGACTCTCTATACAGTAAATGCATGAGAAAAACAGAGAGAGAATGAATGCAACAGATGCTGCTTCTTGAGATTAATTAACACTCAGGCAGGAGGAATGAGAGCATGTGATTATGTCTACAAATAAGCTTCTGTAGGCATGCTCACTATGGGTTGTAATGGCCACAGTTAGAGAGGCAGTGAATTTTCGGCAGCGGAAAAAAAAAAGAGTTTCAAAGGGCTCAATTTTAACGATCTAGGCACAAAAACATAAAGGAGCATGTTCAAATCCACTTTTGCTTTTTTTAGGGATGGAAGAATAGGTTCTGCGCCCCGGTGCATGGTTTAACAGGGTTGTGCTTATTCTCTTAATGAGTTCTGGGTGTGTTTTGAGCATCACCTGCATTAAACCAATCAGTCTCATCTCCCATTCCCTTTAAGAGTCAGTTGCGTTATCTTATGGCGCATTTGCTATTTACATGGTGAACTTTGTAAGTGTAAAAACTGAACGCTTCACTAGTGAGAAAACAGTTAAACAGAGCATCTGCAGCGCAAGGATAAAGAACGAGCCTCCTCCATTCTGTCTCTTTATTTTTACTCTTTACTTCTTTACTTTGGTGGAGTAAGGAAACGGTGGAAACTCACTCCACTGAACACATCCATTAGCCCACATTTTTAATTATGTTTAAGTGCAAAGATTTGTTTCAAAACTACTTCTAAATTCAGTTCTAATCTCCAGCAAAAGAAATAAATGAACAATAATAATGAAGTGTGTTCAAATATTCAAACAAATGTCCTGTTCTCATACCCCATATGATGATGCAGACGTCTCCAAAACTCGACAGGTTGACAAATATACACTTGTTTTTATTAATACAAATATAATAATAATAACATTATACAGATGCAGATTGTCATGAATAAACAGAAAAAGGGCATGGAGGCATGAAGAAGGCATGGAGGCAGTGGTTTTTATATTTATGTAGAAAAAAATCATTTTTGTATCATTTTAAACCCTTAAATGTTTTCATCTGTGTGTGTGTGTGTATGTATATATATATATATATATATATATATATATATATATATATATATATATATATATATATATATATATATATATATATATATATATATATATATACAACAGTTCTGTCTGGTTCTCAAATCTGATGGGCTGATGGCCGTGCAATATTCTGCAATATCAGAACTCCTACAGCCTCTTTACCCTTTGTGTATTACTCCGCTCACATACAGCCAGCAAATAGCAGACACTACAGATCTAAAGTTTAAAAGATGCTTTTAACTGTTTTAACAGCTGTCAACTGTCAGCTTATGATTTGAATCCAATGCAGAAGAAAGTAGTTCCTCATACAAAAGGGTTTTTGAGACTCTCCGTGTTTGATTTTGTTTTTATATACACAATTATGTCATCAAACTGTTGCATAAACGCAATATCACACTCGTAGCAGTGCGATATGGCTGTTTATCGGCACTGGTGGGGGCACTAAGGCACGAGGCCGCACGCGTCCCACCAGTGCCGATATACAGCCATATCACACTGCTACTCATGTGATATTGCTCATATATATATATATATATATATATATATATATATATATATATATAGTGACTTGGGATCCTTTAATTGGATGATCATGATTAGCTAACGTGGACCAGCTGGGTCAATCATGAGCACAGGCTCCTCTCGAAATTAGTTTAAAATTAAACTTCACGTAAAACATGCCGTTTTCTGCTAAATGGTTACATTAATTGAGTATAATATATTTTCATTAAAGTGGAATCCAATGTACAAAATAAGATAAACTTGAGTGAGTGCTTCATTTTCCCTGTAACACACCTCCTTTCTAACCTGCACAGCCACGGTTTCCACAGAGTGGTGCAAATGGATTTGCTATTAAAACAATGTGGAGCAAAACGTGAAAATTATTGTTTCGCTGGTCTGAAAATAGCAACAAACACTTCTTGCATCTTATTGCACCGAGTTTATGATAGGGCCCTAAAACTAAAAGTGCACTAAAATTACAAAAGCATAAAACTTAAAATAAAAAAATGAGGTGAGGGGGTGGGGGGGGGGGTGTATAAACATAAAATATTGAGATAATTGGGGTACAATTTTAAAATAAAAATTATATTAACAATATTAAATGCAATATTATTGAAATATACATAAGACTATATTCATAAATATATTTTTTTTACTTTTTTATATTATTAAACAATAGCATTACAGCTAAACAGAAATATAAAAGAGAATTATATAGAATAGAAAAGAAAATTAAGTAAAAAAAAAAAAAGGTAATATCAATTTTTATTAAATACTACTGGTGCTAAAGCTAAATGAAAAATAAAACCTCAGCCCTTTGGTAGATCATTTTAAAACACTCACATTTCTGAAAACAAAACAATGTTTTACTTTCTAGAAAATGCTTCTTGATTTAAGTGATTTTAAGTGAATTTTTAACTGCAGAAAAGATTAGCCATTTTCAATAGCCGAGATCAACATCCCATAATGTAATTCACAACCACAAATAAACATGTGTGAATCGCAAAATTAGGAAAACTGCTAATTTACAGATATTTTGTACACTTTACATGAGTATAAAACACTGTTCTCGCTGTCAGCAGCGTGTTGACCCGTCTGATGTGCATGAAAATACTATTAGCTTTTATTCTTATGCACAGAATTCGTCCGTCACCTAAAAACGTTTAAACGCTTGAGCGCATCAGTGCGTGTGTGAGAGACGCAGCAAACGCTTCACAGGCCAAATGTTTTCTCTGGCAGCTTCAGTTTCATTAGGCTCTTTAGCGATGGGTGGCCGCTTTGAAGGATGATGGGAAAATCTCTGCCTCCTGCCAGGCCGATTTATGACCTCTGTACATCCTTCAGAGCGGACGTCAGGATACACCAGCGGCTCCGATAAAGAGCTCGCTATTTACTGAGAGGATACTAGTAAAATGTAAAAACTGCAGACTTCGAGTAATAAAGCTCAAGGACTTTCAGAAGGACATGAGTGTTTTTAAAACCTTAGCTGCATGATCAGAAAAACCCTTTATGTCTTCATAACACTAACACAAATCAAGGTCATTTTAATTAATGTAATGTACGCAGGGCTTGACATTAAATCTTTAGATCACCAGCCACAGTGGCTAGTAGTTTTCCAACGTTACTAGCCACTCTGCATTTTCACTAGCCACAATTTTGTTGTTGGGAAAATATTTTATATATGGATAAATATGATTTTGACATGCTAAAATGACTTGATTTAGATTTTGTGTTTTGTCCACATGCTTCCTCATTCATTTCATGTTTTGTGTGTCGTGCATGAGCAAATAGGTCATGGTTTCATACTTTTTCACTGCAGTTTTTATTTCATATGACTTTTCAGAGCTCAAAATTTAAGGATTTACCAAATTTATCTCTGACCACACCAAAAAATAAATTATTTCTTAGCCACAAATTATAAATTTGTCAAAACAAGCTAAATACAGCAGTATACTATACTTTGTATTTAATAAAACATTTCTTTAAAATAACAACGAAAAACTATTAAGAATTCATTCATTCATTAATTTTCTTGTCGGCTTAGTCCCTTTATTAATCCGCAAGGATTCCGCTGTGGCGACCCCAGATTAATAAAGGGACTAAATGAATAGAAAATGACAATGGATAGAAGATGAAAATGAATAAATGAATATTATTATTTATTTTAAATCTATTATTTGTATTTTCCCCCTTGTTTCTCCCTTAAAAAATTAAAAATATAAGTATATAGTAAAAAAAAGAACTCACCAAAGTTCGCTGAAAACACCAGCAGAACCACTAGAACCTTTATCCCACCAGCTTCAACATGAAACATCGTGACCCTGAGGACAGAAAGAACAAACAGAAAATGAAAACTGTAATATCAACATGTGTGAACAGCACTGGCGATAAGAAAATGAGCAGGTTTGAGTGTGTATAAAAACAAAACAGCACTGAGGCACCTGTTAAAATATAAAATAAATGCAGTATAATGAAGATTAATGTACAAGATAGTGACTTCTAGTAACCATTAAGACCACACCGACCACCATGCAACACCCAAGTAACCATTCTGAAGTGATTTAGTAACACATTAGCAACCAGCCAGATCTACTTGCATAGTAACCCTTCTTCCGACCCTTCTTATCTGAACATGCAGCTCAACTCCTTGTTCAAGCTCTTGTTCTCTCCAGACTGGACTATTGCAACTCTCTACTAGCCGGGCTTCCAGCTAACTCTATCAAGCCTCTTCAACTGCTCCAGAATGCAGCAGCACGAGTGGTCTTTAATGAACCTAAACAAGCACATGTCACTCCGCTGCTCATCCGTTTGCACTGGCTGCCAGTTGCTGCTCGCATCAAATTCAAAGCTCTGATGTTTGCTTACAAAGTGACTTCTGGCCTTGCTCCTTCTTATCTGCTCTCACTTATGCAGATGTATGTGCCCTCCAGAAACTTGCGTTCTGTGAATGAACGTCGCCTCGTGGTTCCATCCCAAAGAGGGAAGAAATCACTTTCCCGAACTCTCGCAATCAATCTGCCCAGTTGGTGGAATGAACTCCCTAACTGCATCAGAACAGCAGAGTCACTCGCTACTTTCAAGAAACGACTAAAAACCCAACTATTTAGTCTCCACTACACTTCCTAATCTGCAATTGCCTCTCTGAATATCACACTAACTGTACAAAAAAATAATAATAATACTAATACTACTAATACTTCCCTTCTTAGACTTTACAGACCTGAAACTTGCCTACAGCACTTATTCATTGTTGATCTTCTAGTTGTGTAAATTGCTTCCTTGTCCTCATTTGTAAGTCGCTTTGGATAAAAGCGTCTGCTAAATGACTAAATGTAAATGTAAATGTAATCAAATAGTAATATATTTGCAACAATCCATACATTCCCACAACCACATATCAATAACTTAGGCCCATACCCAATTCTACCCCTTAAGGCTGATTTATACTTCTGCATTAAGCGCACGCGTATGCTACGGCCAGTGGTGGACAGAGTTCTGAAAAATCATACTCAAGTAAAAGTACCATTACTTGCCTAAAAAATGTAGTGCAGGTAGAGTAAAAGTATCTGTTGTAAATATTACTCAAAGTATGAGTAAAAGTAGACCATTCAAAAGTACTCAAGAGTAGTGAGTATTACACCGTGTAAAGCTGATGCATTTACATGTATAATGCGAATGTGTGTAAACGTAACATTCTGTAGTGCATCTAGGTATTGCCCAGCAGGCACACAAACTCATAAGACGTTAATATTAGGTTAGATTAAGGTTGTGATGTCAGGTGACCAAAATTCAGCGTCTTAAGCAAGTGTGCCGCAAGCCTGCGTTTGAGTGAAGGTCTCGGCCGTTAGATCGCCCCCTGGGGGCTGGCTGCAGTACAAGTCATAAAGCCCGCCTCCTCCGTGTTAATGAAGGAGACTTGAGCCCAAATAAAAAAATTTATTACACTTGCAATAAAATGTCCCGAAAGATGGTTCTGGTCGATTAAGGCACTGGTTATTGTGCTGAAATAGCTGCAGATCTTCATTTTTGTAAACAGTTTAATGCTGGGCGTGTCATCGTGATTGACAGCTGTGATTGACAGTTTCTCAAAGCAGCGCGTCTGAGCTTCGGCAGGAGACTGAAGTGTTATTATTCGATTTCTGTGTTATTTTACCATGACAAAATGAGTTCAGCAGTAAACTACAGTTTCTGACATACATGATCCTGGTGGAACACTGTTTATTCGCTAAGTTCAGGGCTTTTTTCGGGCTTTATTAGTTTGCTGATACACGCCACCCAGATAGCAAAACACACTCGGGCCAGTTCCGGCTAGATTCTCGCCTGCCGGAGACTTACCCCTCAGAGCTCAGACTGACTACCTCTGCTGGACCTACTCCGGATGCCTGGACTCACTGCCCGATTCCAGCCCGAGTCAATCGAGCCAGATGCGGCGGCCGAGCGAGCCGGTGCTGCCGCATGCGAGCCGGAATCAGCCCGCGACGCCGCGAGTAAGTTATGCGCTGCGGCCTGGAGCTGGCGCGATTGAATATATAAAACCCTCATATTTGTTAACGTTATTACATCCATTTGTGTTGATATGACAGCAAAAGCATGCTGGGAAGTTTGAGGGGCGTGGTTGATTTTACATAAAGCGTTTGGTTGGAAGCTCGACTCCGCTCATTTTCGTGGCTCCTCCTCTGGCTCCATCAGACAGTCCTTCTGCGCATGTCAAGGCTCCAGTTTCAGCAGTCTTTTGCGACAGTTTGTGCCCGTCAAGCAGGCGTTTTGCCCTCAAGGCGTTCAATGGGAAAAGGGGCTGTCGCGTCATCCATATTTTTTACAGTCATTGTGTTAGAGTGCAACAACAATCTGACTTCATGTTGACGTCTTCTGCCTGCTGAGTGTTTAAGGAATTTCAGTCATCATAGAGTGAACATCGGTCATCTTCTCATCAGTGACCTGCAATTAAACAGTCTCTAGGTCACTGCGTATAAAGATTTTGGACATCTACTTTGAGACTTTCAATGCTTTCAAACAGTTTGCTGCAATAATGAACTACTTTAAGACATGTTGATTTATAATGATGTGATCGACCTTCTGTGTGATTTGATTGGACTCTAATCCCCATATGCAGGAAATAATAAAGTAGTGACTGCAGACTGAAGGAAAGTAGTGGAGTAAAAGTACTGATACTGCACTAAACATGTGCTCAAGGGAAAGTAAAAGTAAACATATTTAAAACTACTTAGTAAATTATGATTCCTGAGAAAAAAACTACTCAATTACAGTAATTTGAGTATTTGTAATTGGTTACTTTACACCACTGTGTGTCCTTTATAAAAAGAGATGAATATTAATGCATAGTGGCAGGATGCTAAGGAGTGATTCCTTTTTTTTCATAATCCAGCACTAGCCACCCCTCAGACCCGCCAACAACACTCTTAGAATAGTAATCAGGCTTTTTTCATTGTTTTACAGTCCCCCTCTCTGTATCACCTCTCTCTCTGTCTCTCTCTCTCTGTGGGTGGTCTGTCTTTCAGTATCCTTCACGCTGGCTCTAGTTCTGCTCAGACAGGAAATGTCTGGCTTGTGTAAAACTCCTCCGTCCCTTTTAAGTGCAATAAAATACAGATACACATATTAACACTCGCCCCCACACTGCAGCACAGACCAAACACGACTAGAAGCAACAAAGAACAGCAGAACAACACCCTAGAAGCACATCATGACTGCCCAGAACACCCATAATTCTTCAGTTAATTTCCTCTTCTGTAGCATCTAACTACAATCAACCACCAACCAACAGCCTAACAACCCAGAATCACTTAGAAAGCCTATTGTGAACACCCCATAATGATAGAAGCTACACCATGCGTCCATCTGTAACTCTAACAAGACCTATAGTAACACTGTAGTAACCACCCAGACTCCTAGCAACACCTTAGTAACCACCCAAACACAGAAGCAAGAGCCTAGCATCCCCCACAAGCTCCATAGCAGCCACCCAGACCCCTAGCAACACCTTAGCAATCCCCCAGACATCTTAGCAACCACCCAAAACACAGAAGCAAGAACCTAGCAACCCCCCAAAAACTCCCTAGCAGCCATCCAGACCCCCTAGCAACACCTTGGCAATCACCCAGACATCTTAACAACCACCCAAAGCACAAAAGCATGAGCCTAACAACCCCCACAAGCTCCTTAGTGGCCACCCAGACCCCTAGCACCACCTTAGCAATCCCCTAGACAACTTAGCAACCACCCAAAACACAAAAGCACCAGCCTAGCAACCCCCCACAAGCTCCCTAGTAACCAGACTCAATAGCATCATCTTAGTGATCACCCAGAAACTCCAGCAACACCTTGACAACCCCCGAAAATACAGTAGCAAGAGCCTAGCAAGCCCTCACAAGCTGCCTAACAACCACTTAGACCACCTAGCAACACCTTAGCAATTACCCAAACACCCTAGCAACATTTACCAATCACCCAGACACACTAGCAACACCTTAATGACTACCTGTAATCCACTAGCAACACTCAAGACCCTCCTTGCAACCAATACCAAGAATACACAAGTGTTAGTGATCACACTGACACCCTAGCAACACATTGGTGATCAACCAGACACCCTAGCAACCTATTAGCAATCACACAGACACCCTAACAACAACCTAGCGATCACCCAGACACTCTAGCAACACTTAGCAATCACCAAGACACCATAGCAACACCTTAGGGATCACTCAGACACCCTAGCAATACTTTAGCGATCACCTAGAAAACCTAGCAATACCTTAGCAATCACCCAGACATCTTAGCAATCACCCAAAAGCATGAGTCTAGCAACCCTCCTCAAGCTCCCTAGCAGCCACCCAGACCCCCTAGCAATACCTTAGCAATCATCCAGACATCTTAGCAACAACCCAAAACACAAAACCAAGAGCTTAGCAACCCCCCACAAGCTGCCTAGCAACCACTCAGACCTCCTAGCAACACCTTAGCAATTACCCAAACACCCTAGCAACACATACCAATCACCCAGACACACTAGCAACACCTTAATGACTACCTATAATCCACTAGCAACACTCTAGAGCCTCCTAGCAACCAATACCAAGAACACACAAGTGTTTGTGATCACACAGAAACCCTAGCAACAGCTTACCAATCACCCAGACACCCTAGCAACACTTATTGATCACACAGATACTCTAGCAACACCTTAGCGATCATCTAGACACCCTAGCAACACTTAGCGATCACCCAGACACCCTAGCAACACTTAGCAATCACCCAGACACCCTAGCAACAATTAGTTATCACCAAGACACCCTAGCAA